GATTCCTATAGGTCTCCTGACAAACTCAGGTTAACTGTCATATTAATTATGACTTAGCTAAGAGTTTCAAATCATCTCCTATATTACTCTTGGACTATAAGCAATGTTAATGAGATGGGAGGTTGGACTCTTATTATTTTAGAGTGTGGCCTTCTGAAGAGCAAAATCTTTATATTGGCATTAATGTCAATCCATAGTAGTATTTATATGACTGTACGTACTTTGAAAGTTATAGTTAATGATCCTCCTTGCCAGTGAAATACTACACAGGATAATAAACTGGTGTTGCTAGGTGCTGAAATGTATTTTGGGGGGCAATCTTTTGCATTTCTACAACCTCTGTGACTATACTTACAGCATTCCTTAAAACCTGGCTTGGTTGCAAAAGTGGGCTGGAATTTCTTAAACCTATTGTTACATCCTAGGTTTCCTTTGTAACTCAGGATGATTTTATTAACAGAAGGCTGAATCCAAACATTTTGTAGAATTCTGCAATAGCATGTTAATACTGAAGGAAAATCATTGAATTGTTTGAAATTTTATATTGTGAAATTGAACAGATGAAGTGTTTGCCTGGCGTTTGTACTTGTCACTAAATAAGTTTTTAAATTACTGCAAAAAAAAAAGAAAAGAAAAGAAAACTATAGCACTTTATGTCAAAAGCATCTGTAATTTGCTGTCATTCTGTAAGCCATGGGATAAAAGCAGCATCCTAATACGTAGATTTTTTAAAGTGCTTACTGAGAAATTTTCCTTCTATTTCATAAATGCTACTTAATTTTAAAAGCTACTAGGAAAAAAACTGGCAATCCTGTTTTCATTTATAATATTGTATATAGGCAGTCTTTGGAGGTACATACTTTGAAAAAATTGCATGAGAAAATAGGATTAAAGTATTGGCTTTATGTGTTCTCTGCCTGTGGACCTCAGCATCTCTTGTTGCTCATCTTGATTGAGCACTTTTTTTAAAGCCATATCCAATAACTGGATTTTATTGGCAACATACAGCTGATAATAGTTGGTTTTTTTCTACTTCCCTAGAGATAGATTTTTCTTCTGAATTTCTTCATAATGATGAGAATATTTAAGAAATAGTAACAGTTTGCTCTTAAAGTTCATTCAATTGCATTAGGAAAGAGCTTGTATTTATTCAAGTTTGGTCAGTTGTTCCTTAGTTTAATTGTTTTGCAAAGCTGTTGATCAGCTTTACAAACAGGCTAGAGAAATAGGCTGAAAACAACAGAACAAAATTAAATTAATAGGAACAACTGCAGAGTTCTTAATTTAGGGGAAAATAGCTGTTTCTACTGTCTCTTGAAATAATCTGTTTTCAAATTGAAATTTCTAGCTATTTTATTTCCCATCTTTATTTCTGAAAGGCTTTGATTAGCTCTGACCAAAAAAATACCCTACTCAGTAATTTGGCCCTTTGTTACTAGTAGGGTGTGGTGAGTCAGAAGTTATATTTGTAGAATTGCTTTGGGAAAGAGAATCTAATTGTGTAAAGATCTGCCACTGCTGTTCTTTCACATATACCTCACTACTTAGATTCCAGTAATTTCCCAAAAGTAAATTATGTTTCAAGTCCATCAAGGCCTGCATATTCATTGTCCAAAAATACTTTCTTTGTTTTTTCAGGCAGTGGCACACAGGTCTTAAAATATTTTGGGCAACTCGTCCGCTTGCTACTGGTAGAATCTCCAGTTCTTACAATTTGTTAGAATGCGCCAACCTACACTTGGAAAATAATAATGTAAATAGTATGACAGTGGGCATCAAATCTGAATGAAATATCTTTCAACAGAGAACATTAGAAACAATTTTAGTGTAATGAGTTTCTATCATCCACCTTAAAGTCTGCTAAAATGTACTTGTATTTAGCCAGTCACTTTTTCTCAGCCCTAGGAAGGAGGCAATGGCAAACCACTTCTGAAAAACCTTGCCAAGAAAACTGCAGGGACTTGTTCAAGAATTGGACACGATTGAACAGATTTTTTTAAAAAAATTAAAATACACATTTCCAGTCACATTCCACAAGAAAATCACATTAGTAATGAATATGTAACACAGATGTGTGCTGTTTTAACAAAAGCCTCTTTTTATTGTGTCAAAATAATTCAAATATTAAAAGAAAATTATATAAAAATTAGCAAAATATTAAATATTTTAACAAAAGCCTCTTTTTATTGTGTCAAAATAATTCAAATATTAAAAGAAAATTATATAAAAATTAGCAAAATATTAAATATTTTAACAAAAGCCTCTTTTTATTGTGTCAAAATAATTCAAATATTAAAAGAAAATTATATAAAAATTAGCAAAATATTAAATATTAACATTATTTTTAGAAAGAAAATGAAAAAGGGGCTTTTTCTCAAATTTTTCTTTCACATTTAAACAACTTCAAAAATTTCATGCAATTGCTCAAAATTTCTTTTCTTTCCCCCTTTGTCAAACAAAAAATCAGTAATTCAAACATTGACAGATTGCACATATCAGTCTACTGCTGCAAATCAAATGGAAATTCATCCTTCAAAACATTGTTTTATACTTTTGGCTGGTCATCCTCTATACACAAAAGTTTCCAGTTTTTTTTAATGTTTTGATAGATTGCAAATGCTGTAACCCAAGCAGAACATATTCATTAGGCTGTACAAAGCATTCAGAAATGCTACTCTGCAAACTATGTTAGTGTGAATGATACACTCTTCCTCACAGTTTTAAAACAATCTCATCCTCTGGAAGGTTCATGCAGCATTTTGAAGGCTGTCTGCATGTACATGCATAGAAAACACTTCCGCTGAAACTGCAGTGAAACAATGGTCGTATTAGCAGTCCTGTAGATGTCAGCCCCAATTATAGTATGTCCAGATTATATGATTTAAAGTTCCAGTTTATAACAGTATTTGCAGCAGCAAGACAATTGCATCAAGTTGTTATTAATTTATTATTTATACTTCAGAAGAATAAAGTTGGTTATCACCCAGATGCCTACTTTTCCCGTCAGTAACTCAACACTGATAGTTGCATCCTCTTGTCTGAATTTTGAATCAGCATCTCTTTTTGTTCATGCAAGGCCCATCCAAAGGATTGGGGATCTCTCCCTAATAGTCATGAATCTCCCAACCTTCAGGAAACCACAGTGGAATCTCAAGAAAGAGGGATTTTTTTCAGACTCTTTTTTGTGTTGAACTATGAGTATGGGAATAAGCACAGGGGCCCTTTCAGAGCATTTCTGTCATTAATACGTTCCAAACAAATGAAAAAGCCCAAAATTGCCATTAGTTTTCAACACCAAAATAGTCAAATGTTAGCGTCATGATTTGGAGGCTTCCCCCCCGCCCCCATTTTGGGTGAATTTTAAGAGTAGGAGTAAAAGTTCTTTGCTTCCCAGGAGTTTCTTGCTTCCATTCCCACTTTTTGCAAAGAAAGAATGAAAAATTGCTGTTCTTCCACCAAATTTAATAATATATAATATATAATATAATATAATATAATATAATATAATATAAATTGTGAGTACCATTGGAACTGCAGTGAGCCATTCTATTTGATAATTGAGGTCATCCAAGAAGATTCATTGGGCTGGATTCATTTCCCCATAACTTGAGGTCTTGCTTTCTTTCAGCCCACCTCAGGACTCTGAAATGCTATTCCTGCTGGATTGAGATGGTTAGCTTTTTATTGCTTTTTTTTGAAAGCCTTAAAACATGTCTTTTTGAATAGGGATTTACTTGTTTATTTTAAATCCTTCTTGGTTTAACTCTGATTAAAATGTAACTATTGTAAACTACTAAGATATTTCAATTGTCAGTGGCATAATATATAGTTAAGTAAAATACAGTTGTTGGCTATCACAAAATTCTGGGGAAAACCTAATTAGTTGAACATGGTTTTTAAAACAAGAAAGAAAGAACAAATGAACTAGACATGGATTATAATATTTGGCAATTACAATCTTATTCATGGAAGGAGTCAAGGTACTGTTAATACATCTTCCAGTTGTAGATTCATGTCTAGCATGTTATTGCCTTGGTTATGTGCTAACCTATTTTGGATTGAACTCTTGGATTTGAAACAGGAATCCTGGATAAAACTTTATGCTTACCAGTTTCCTAAGAAATCTGCTATTAGTCCAGTGAATAGACTTAGCTGAGTAGTCTGAATGACTTGCTGCTCTGCCAGGGACCTCATGTATTTGTGCTGGATCCTATATAGTTATCCTCTCCCAAATATCCAGAAGTGATATGAAGTTAGGAACAGAGCAGTTCAGTTACTAAGAATGCAGATGTGCTGTTGCTGATGTTGAACATGGTGATAGCAAAATAAAATTATCCAAGTATTCAAAAACCCACAAAGCAAAGAAGCCACCCTGTCACTACAGTTGAAAAATACATACTACTGTACCACTGTATGACAGCTTTACATAGACATAATAATGAACTTATCCTTTCCATTTATTTAGGTGGAATTTGTTCCACCTACACCAAGCTCTGAGTATTTAAAAATTGATTGTAACTGAATATTCAGATCTGTGATATTCCAGTAATCATGCATGGTATAAACATGTATGCTGTGAAATGGCAGCCATTTAGATGTAGAAATATATGTTGTATAGATACACTAGAAAAAAACAAAACAAACCAGATCTCTGATCCTGTTATGGTGCTAATACCCTCAATTTGAAAAAAAATGTGAACATTGAAGAGCACTAATGGCACTTTTTCTTAGAAAGGCCTATGTGCTATACAGTAATCTAATTTAGCTTCTTAATGTCTTATGCATGTGCTAGTTAATTTTTATATTTATGCCATTGTGTATTAAATATTGAATTGCTATAAAATAATAGTTAAGATAATTTTCAATTGTTAAAACTTTTGTAAGCATTTAAAAGCAATTTTAAAGCAAATATTTAATTATAAGAATTTAATTAGGAATATATCATTCTTGTTACTTTTGTTATGATGTTTAATGATACAGCAATTACTATCTCCAAACAGATCTGAAGAGGGAAGCTAGTATCTGTCACATGCTGAAACATCCTCATATTGTTGAACTTTTGGAGACCTACAGTTCTGATGGAATGCTATATATGGTTTTTGAATTGTAAGTTTTAAATTCCTCATATTCTTATTTTTTGAGACCTTCAGGTCTTCTAGAATGCCAAGTATGATTTTCACATTGTAATTTTTACATGTGTATATTTGCATGTGTAAGTATGTGTATGTGTAATTATTATTTGCATATTCTGTTCAAATTGTAACTACCATAGTTATATCTAGCCAAAGGAGAATAATGTGATCAGTTAGGGTAGTAATTAATTTTCTTTAAATTAGTGCTGAATACTGTACTAAGGAAAAGATATACTTTCATGTCGTGCTTGCTTGCTTGCTTGCTTGCTCTGTTCTATTCCTGTTTCTGTTCCTGTTGTAAAGTCACCCAACTCCCAAATGACTCTGAGCAGCTTACATTTTAAAAGTCAGAAACAGTAAAATAAAGAGGAGAAGGGGAATGAACATCCAGAAAAAACAAGCCCACAGAGTAGAAAAACAATAGAGGCTTGATAATCACCCCAACCCTAGGCTGGGGAACAAAACTAGGTTTTCAAAGATTTTCAGAACAAATGCAGGGTGTGGTAAGAAGAGAAAAGGAGTAAACAAAAAAAGTTGAAAGCATGAAATAAGGAAAGGGAATACAGGTGGGTCACAATTAGCGTAAGCTCGAATAATGTGATATTCTATGTTGTGCAAATTGTAAATTGATACCAGGTCGCATTTAATGCAACCCAAAATTCAGTTAATGTGAGGCTAGCACGTGTGCAATTGAGATTAGTGCATGCACAGTTGCAGTTAGGGTTTTAGATGCTGCTAATCTTAGTATGTGCAAAATGGAGAAAAGCAAGTTTCTGTCAGTAATGTGCAAGTAAAAGAGTTCGTTCTCAATGAATTTGAAGATATCTTTCGAGCTGTAGAAGTTGTGAAGCAAAATGTTATGGATGCTGACCCTAACCTCAATCAAAGCGTGCAAATTCACAGAGATGTGGATAAAGTACTCTGCATCTGTCAGCATATATATGAAGATTTAAAGAAAGAGAAAACTGTTCAGTCTACACTGCTAAAATATTTTGAGAGACAACAAAGATGTTTTTGTCAGTGTAAGCTTACTTTCAGGAATGATGTTTAATTTTTTTTTGTTTTTATTTTGCTTTCTATAAGTACTCTGTGACTTTGCTAACTATACATTTAAATTACAAGTACATTCTTTTTATCCTTTACTGTAATATTTCATTAATATACACATGCAAGTTTATGTTTAAACATTTTCTGTCAAGCTGGAACCAATTACCATATTTTCCATAGAAAAATCACTTCGAAAAGTGTGAATTTGAATACTGTGACCATTTCGTGGGATTCATTAACCACACTAATTGAAACCTACCTGTAGTTAAAAGTAGGTTATACTAACACTATTCACTATATGTCACCATATCTTTCTCTCCTTGCAAACCATAACTGTTTTCAACACATCCATACATCACTTCAGAGATTGCCTTGTTTTTTAATCTCACCTTTTTTCTGAGGATATCATCTATACAATCCAACCACGAGTGTCTCAGTTTCCCCCTTTCTCTTGATCCATTCAATCTTTCTTTATGTATTCGTTTTCCTTCTCTCTACATGATAAAACTATGTCAACCTATTATTTTCATATTGATCTCTCACTTTTGCATTTAATCCATATTCATTCAGTACAATAAGCTTTCTCACATTCATATACTGTCTGTTTGGCGAAAAGCTGCACTTGCACTTCCCAAATTTTGTTCTTTTACTCTTTCAGTCAGAATACTATCAAATATCTTCCCAAGCACGCTTAATGTATTAATCTTCTGTTTTTGTATTCTCTCTTCTTCCCTTTCTCTTTGTACAGGGGAACAGTAATGGCATTCTTTTAATTGGCAGGCAGAAATGCAGTCTTCACACACACATTAAACAAGTCACATAACTTCTCCATAAGCAAATCACATCCATAATTTAAGGTTTCTTCAGTTACACCATCTACATGTGCAGTCTTGCCATTTTTAACATTCTCCCAGCATTTATAACTTCCTTTTCATCCTTTTTTTGGACTCTAAGTTTTATAGCATTTATTTCATTCCACTCCACAACATGTCACTATCATTTTCATACAAACATATGATATAATCCTTCCAGCATACTCAAACATGAGTTTCATTCCAAATTATTTCATTTATTTTAATTTAATTCACTTTGCTGGAAGTTCCTTGTTTAGGCCTCTTAACCCTGTTCAAAACCATTTTTTATACCCATCAAAATTGCTCTGCCTTTTTTTTTCTTTTACTCTTAACCATTCCTCATGTCTTTGACTGCATTTTTTTCTATATGTATACACTATACCATACCTTTCTCTCAACCTTATTTTTTACATGGCTTTATATGTGGTTTTCCTCATTCATTGCATTTTTTACTTCATTCCACCAAGCATCCTTTTTATATTTCCCATTATTGTAGTTCAGTACACTTCTGTGGCATTCTGTAACATTATTCTTTTTACTCTCTTCTAAACAGCTTCCTCATCATCTTTCCTTATAGCCATTTTCCACTCATTCTTTTGGAAGATTAATCCATTTTCTAATACTTTATCATACAAGATTTATACTCTCTCTTCCTGCACTTGTTCTACTTTGATTTATTTCACTTTTTTTCCTTTTCTAGATGTCCATTTTTCCTTAAGATCCACTCCTGTCACTATCAAAAAATGGTCTGTTCATATTCAGTGCCTCTTACCACCTTTATATTCTTCACTGATTCAGTCTCATCATGCAGTCAAATCCATCATGTATTTGGATTTCTGTTCATTCATTTGCCATGTGTACATATGAAAGACTTATATTTAAATCACCTATCTGAAACAAGCAGACCTTTTTTAAAAACAATTGTGCATCATACAGACACTGCTCTCATTCATTCTTGGCCTCTGATTGTGCATACATTTTTCTGTCCTCTTCTCATTCTAACCTATCTATTCCTGGCACTTAACAGAATAATTTTCTCCCAGATCACATTCATTCAGAATGTTGCACAACTCTTAATACTCATCTCTGTTTCTTCCACCAGTTATTGGAGCATAATCCATAACATATAGATTCCTAGTTTCTTACACACCATATCAGTCTAGATGACACCAGTTCATACTTTCTGACATACATTTTACAGTTTTCATTCATAAACCTACAATTTGACTTGTGTGCATGAATTGACTGAGTAAGCAAACTGAGAGACCAAACAGGAATTTAGCAAGAAAAGTGGGAGGCACTTTTTTCTTGTTTAGTTTATCAGAGGAATATGGAGATAGAGGAACTGCTTTTATGACTGCAGGAGTTGTGCCTGTTACTTTTTCCTCTTTGAAGACATGTGCAGGTTAATTGTTCTCCTGGAAGGAAAGATGAAAGGACTAGAGGCAGAACTTTACCCCCCCCCATCCCATATATTAGGGAAGATGGGAAATTCAGACAGAAGAAGCACTTTTGAAGGGACACAGCACCAAGAAGCTCCTCATAGAACAGAAGAAAGCCAAATGGAGTGGACAAAAAGATGGAGGAATGTGACGAAAGGTCAGAAGCACCCAGAGTCACTTCCTTGTGAGATGGGCAGTGTCCAAATTTGAAATATAAATAAATAGACCTGTCAAAAAGAGTCTTTATGCTCTAGACCTTCAGAATAGATTCCAGGGCCTCACTGTTGATTTTGTTTCTGGATCCCTGGATGAAGAGCAGCTTCCACAAAAGAGGACTCTAGAGGCTCTGCAAAGCAAAAGATCTCTGCTTCTCCCCTGAGGAGGAGGATGAAATGAGTGGTAGTAATCATACTACCCACTGAAATGGTCTAAAGTAGCAATCTCAATTGGATAGCCTTCAAGAGAAGTTTGGCTTCTTTGAAAATGGGATGCATTTCCAAAATGAGGGACTCCTGGCACCTCATGAAAACTGGGAAGAAGGTGCTTAGAAGGTGCCTCACAAACCTGATCCAGGAGTTTAAACTGCTGTAGGAGAGAAATCAGGAGGGACCTGGATCTAAAAAACAGGTGGCCTAACTCTCAGATTGGAGGACCTTGCCCATATCGTCAGGAATTACAGATCCAAACCCTACACAAATAATCCTACACAGCTGTGCCTCTGGGACCTCAATTGGACCTGCCCAGTTTGAATCTAACTGAGTGGATCTGAGCCCAACATCAACCAGAGAGTTTCACAGTTGGTTATCTGTGGAACAGAACCTCTGAGAGCCCTCAGTACCTTGCAGGTAACAATGGCCATCCTACTTCCCTCCCCCAGGCTCCTAGGCAAGCACATTTCCAAGAAGGAGATCACCCCCTGGGCCCACTCAGGTCTCAGTTATACATACAGGCCAGTGCCCTCATCCATAAGGTCACGAATGAGGGCAGATTTATTACACCTTTGTAATAGTAAAGGTAAAAGCTGAGGGCTGGACATGAGGCCAATTCAAACATCCCCAAATTCCTGTCATGTTTAGTCCTGCTGATCATAGTCTGAATGTTCCTGCTTGCCCTCTCTCCTCCCCACAATCCCCTTCCACTCCTAGCACCCCCATCCCAGATACTCATATCCTCACCCATATACTTTTTAAATATACCCCTTGCCCCCACACCAGTAGTCATCCTGGCCCCTCACGGGGCCCCAAGCACCCTCCCAGCTGCTCTTGCCCCAAGGCATTCAGGAGCCAACAAGGTGTTAGGTCCTATGTTGAGTTCTACAGACCCACCCAAAACCACAGACAACCCTGGATAGAAGATTAAAATCTTAGAAAAGGTGGGTAGATGACAGGGCTGTTCCTCCCAGGTCTGGGTAAGAGGTCCCAATAAATCAGTGCCCAAAGCTGAACACAAAGGACAGAAGCTGGAGCTGTCAAGAACCTCCAAAACAATAAGGAACCCTCTGGATCGACCTGGTGCCTTAGTTTGGAACTACAAGTATTGCTCTGGCTCCCTTCTGCTCCTATTAAGGGCACCCCTCTAAGTTCCTCACCCCCAGGTTAAAAAGTACCTCGGGGCTGCTGTCTTCACCAAGC